AATCCTCTGGCACCTGCTTCTGAGAATGATTTTGCTAACTTTAGTACAGTGATTACTGATACCCGGAGATCTGTAAAACTGAGAGCTGAGTAATTGAACTGTGTATTGGATGCCTGCAAACCAGCCCTCGAGAATGAAAATATGTAGGCTCGTATTAAATCCAGTGAAAAGGGGAAAGACGTTATATTGTTTTTTTTAATTGCCATGAGACCTTTTGTTTAAAAAAAAAAAAAAGCTTATTAAATGATAATAGTGTTTAATTAGTTTATGAAGAGAGTGAGATTTAAGTCAGTTAAAATATGGTTTTATATTCCATATATTTAACGTATTTTTTGCAATTGAATGTATTTCATGTCATTCTTACATGTTATTTTATATCTAAAGTTGTTTTATTTAATATATAATACACACAGACACTTTTGATGTAACTATATTCGTTTTACATATTGAATATTTAATGTTTGTTAAATTTTTGTTTCAATTGCTAACTAGCGTCTGTCCAACCAGTTGTCACATTTTCAAAACTCTTAACACAGTAAGCACAGCATTAGCCTTTTGTGGCCATACCATTCACACATTTCACGTCGTTTTTACCCAGTAGAACACATTTCCACAATGCTTACATTTTACTAACAGACAAGCTATACCTCCCAACAAAATTGTGGATTGTTTTTGTAGTATTTCATGTTAACACACAACATCCCACAATAGCAAAAACAATATTCCAAATCTTAGATACAGTATACAAAACCTCTGCTTCTGTAATGATATCAGTTCAAAGACAATATCAACATCAAAAATATATCTCAGCTATTAATAAAAAAAGAATTGCATAATTGACACAGCTGATTCCAGTCTGGCTTAGATTCAGTGGCAGGGATTACTTTTTTCTATTACATTTATGCTTATAGGAGACTTTGAGGAGCGATGTTGATAAAAACATGTGGCCGACATTGTAAAAAATAAAAAATTTGCAGTAGTAAGGTGAAAATGTTTTACTTTTACTTTACAATTACTTTATAAAAAATACTTTATAAGAAAATTACTTTGTTCTTTGTAATAACTTGTAAAAAAAAAACTATTATTTTGTAAGTACATTGTGTGTAATTGCTGAATTGGAAGTAAAAACCTTAAAGAAAATTTGTAATGCATTTTTCTGTCCTGAGAAAATCTGCTCGATTAAGTTCAGTGAACCTAAAAATGTACACTCTAAAAACTGCTGGGTTGAAAACAACCCAATTTGGGTTGTTTTGGTAACCCAGCGCTGGGTAAAAAAGGGACAAACCCAACGCTGGGTTACTTTAACCCAGCAAGTTGGGTTACAAGTTTAACCCAGCATGCTGGGTTGTGATTTTAACCCAACTATTAGTTAAAAATTACTACACTGCTGGGTTGAATGTAACCCAAAATGGGTCAGAAATTTAATCTAGAAACTGATTATTAAAATCACTAAAATAAAAACAATTCTACAGCAATACATAGTTGTTCAGTAATGGAATTTTATTTATGACAAAAGATAAAATGTGTCCAAATGAATTTGAGATTTTTCCCATCTGCACCTCAGCATTAACCCTTTGACTGCATGCTCTACCAAATGGTTGACCTCGTTTTTACTGTTTTAAATAATGACTGTTAAAGTCATAAGAAAAAAGATGATTTAGTGTTCAAAATATTTCTTTTAAATATATATATATATATATATATATATATATATATATATATATATATATATATATATATATATATATATATTTTTTTTTTTTTTTTTTTTTTTTTTTTTAATTGGTCTTACACATAATTTTTCAGATTTTTCATAAGTCTGGTACTTTTACCATAAACATACATATCAATCATTTGGTAGAGGTTGATATTTTAGAAATTATAACATGTGTTAAAATGTACTGATTGTGTTCAATAGCGACATTAGCAGTTGAGAAATGCAATCCAATTTTTTTTCTTGAAAGGGTTGTTAAAGGGTTAAGACGATTTCTGTGAAAATTTATCAAACTGTATCACAGAAACACTGACTAAAGTTCAGTAACAATGCATCAGACTGAAATCAGACAAATTACTTTAAGAAAATGCATATTTGAAATACATTCAAAAACATTTGCATCATTTATAAATCAGGAATCATCAGTAAGGCAATTGCAATGTTATTGCAGAGTAGAGAAAAACAATAGTATAAGGAAGTAATAATGAAAATGCATCTAAATGACTGAAGTCAGAAAGTAATTTGAGCACAAACATCAACATATTCTCATATAAATCATCAACTGCAATGCAGAAAAAATATGTGAAAGTAATAATGAAAAGGCATCAAACAGCTTGAAAAAACAAAACAAACAATAAAAACTAAGAAAATACAAATTTTATATTAAGAAAAAATAAGAAAACATTTTATAACTTTCCCTTTAACAATTATGTGCAAACATCAATATATGAGCTATAAAGCAATCATCAGTAAGGATGATCAAGTTCAATGTAAATGCAGTTTTGAAGAAAAAACAGATATAAAAGTTAAAATGAAACCTGAGGATGGAAGCATTTTAAAACAAATTTGAAATAGGAAAACTTTTTTTAACTTTTACTCGAACAATCATGTGCAAACTTCAATCCTGAGATATAAAAGAGTCTGTAAGAAACATCAGTTGCAATGTAACTGCAGTGTAGAGTGTCTTAAAAAAATATCTAGTCCATTATTATGTGCCGTCATCATAGCAAAGAGAAAAGAAATCAGTTATTAGAAATGAGTTATTAAAACTATTCTTTAGAAATGGGTGTCATGGTGGCACAGTGGGTAGTACGATTGCCTCACAGCAACAAGGTCGGTGGTTTAAGCCTCAGCTGGGTCAGTTGGTGTTTCTGTGTGGAGTTTGCATGTTTTCCCCGTGTTCGTGTGGGTTTTCTCTGGGTGCTCCTTTTCCCCCACAATCCAAAGCACAAGTTAAAGAACACAGAATCCAAGGAAGCAGTGAGGTCACAGTATTAATGATTACTGTTTGTCAGCAAAAATTAATGCTAGCAGAACCCTTACTGCTAGTGTCTCCTCCCCAGGATGTCCATAAACCACAGTCTGCCACACCAGGGAACACTGCTTGGGGTAGTTCACACCAAAGATGTAGAATGCTTTATAGCAAACGTCCACTTTGGCAAGTAATGTACTTTGCAATAATAAATAGCACAGCACGTGAGCAAAGGCTTGAAAGAAGTGGTGGTCTCCAAGGATGAGAACATGAGGAAACTCAATAGATTCTTGAATTCAATGGATGAAGATACTCAGCAATATTGGTCCCAATCTGAAAAAATAAATAGAAGTAAGATTTATTAAAAACTCAAAAGTGTAAAAGTTAAATATCTTTAGAGTTAACTTTAGAACACCTAAAATACCTTTAGAAGCAATTAAGGCCATAACACACCAAGCTATCAGCCAGTGTTGGCATTAGTTAACCACTGACCATGGCACCATGCTGCAATTTTTTGGCCCGAGTGAAGATGACAATGCAACAACAGGTTTGCCTAAGGAACTTTTTTTAATAAGTAATAGTAAGGCAAGATGAGCATTTGAAATTATTAAGTATTTAATTGTGTTTTCTTAATGAGAATAGATAAGACCCTTCTTCCTGAGCTGGGACTGTTTGCAACCGGATTTGTATAATTTGAAGCCGCATTTAAATTTTCTTTAAAAACTTCAAAAATGAGGCTCAATCTCAGTTCAAGATGGATAAAATTGCTGAAATATTTTCCTAAAAAAAAATCTTTCTGACTGAAGAAAGAATGACATGAACATCTTGGGTGACATCTTTTTATGTTTTACGCAGCAGATGCCCTTTCAACTGCAACCCATCACACTCTCATTTAGACACACACTATGGACAATTCAGCTTACCCAATTCAGCTACACCGCATGTCATTGGACTGTGGAGGGGAAACCCATCCAAGGCTCAAACCAGCGACCATCTTGCTGTGAGGCGACAGCACTACCCACTGCGCCCCCATGCCACCCTAATAACAAACATAAAAATAACATTTTCATTGTTAATAAAATAACTAAGACAATCATTATGCATTAAATGCATCATTATGCATCGAGAAACCTTTAATTGAATCCTTACCCTCTGAATTGTATTCAAATTGACCTAAAAACGAGGAAAAGTTCGCTCCTGTGCTAAAAATAAAACAAGAGAATGTCACTGGTTGCATGAACAGCAGATTTTAAAAAATAACCAGACAAAAACAAATTGGCATTAGAGTTCAATCTCTCAGTTTAAAGTGTTGAAGTGGCTAATGATTACTAGGGCTGCCCCCTAATAATTGAATAACCATTAGTCAACTAAAAATTTATTATTCATTCATTCATTTTCTTTTTAGCTTTGTCGCTTTATTAATCTGGGGTAACCACAATGGAATGAACCACCAACATATCCAGCATAAGTTTTATGCAGCGAATGCCCTTTCAGCTGCAACCCATCACTGGGAAACGAATACTCATTCACACACATACATCATTGACAATTTAGTCTACTTAATTCACCTTTACCACGTCTTTGGAAACCGGGGCACCTGGAGGAAACCCACGCGAACACGGGGAGAACATGCAAACTCCACACAGAAAGGCCTATTGACCCAGCCAAGGATCGATCAAGTGACCTTGTTGCTATGAGGCGAATGTGCTACCCACTAGTTGCAGAAAAAAAGTCCACACTGGCAAAGTCAATGTATGCTGCATGAATCCGCTGTGTAAAAAATATGCTGGATAAGTTGGCGGTTCATTCCGCTGTGGCGACCCCAGATTAATAAAGGGACTGAGTCAAAAAGAAAATGAATTAATGAATAAATGGTTTATTAATAAATCTGTAATTATTCAACTAATGCTTCAAATGAACATCACAAGTCAACCAGACAAATGTTTAGACAAGGGCAGCCCTAATGATTACAATGAACCAAGTAAAATATTATTACATACCTTCAAATGTGGGGATTAACTCCTCAAGATTGCATTCTTTTAGTTTGATTTTCACGCAATTATCCATCTGAAAAAGAATAACAGATAAAAGCGTTTAAGCAAAATTAAGTAAAAAAAGATCATGTTAGCCAAAAGTCACTATATCACAAAAATACTCCTAAATGATAATAATTATCCAGGGTGTCACATAAAACGGTGGTCAAACTTTTTCTTTTTGCAGTCGAAGATGATTAGGTTGGAATTAGCCTTAGCTCAGACATTTCCGTTAGCATGAAACGACCCTTACATACAGGATTAATTAAAGATAGCTCAAATCACGTCTAGAATGTAAAATGCTCATAGTAAATTAATAACATTTGCTATTCAATGTACAGCTAAACAAAATGTACATGCAGAGCAGGACAATTATTGTATATATTTTGATAAAAAAAAACATTGTTAGAAGCTGAATTCAACACTTATGCATCAAAGTATTGTCACAAAAATCCATGAACAAACTTAAAAAAATACAAGAGTAAAAATACTACTTACTGCTTTACAGTTAACACCCCAGAAAGATCACAAATCACAGTAACGTTACTTACTGTCATCACCTAGCCAACATAAAAATCTGTGTCATTCAAAAGGCATTTTATTACAATAAAAAGCTCCTAAATTATCCTAGGTGTTGTGTTTATAAAGTGGTCATCAAACATGCTTCACGTTAGTTTCATTAGTTACCTTATACTTTTCGAGCTCCTTCCGATGCCATGCGCGCTTACCCGTCCACCGATCAACAGGCTGGGCGTGAGGCGAGCACAGGTCAGGTGTTAGGCGGAGCAACAGCTCGGGCGTTAGGCGGAGAAACAGGTCCGGAGAAACAGGTCGCCGTTAGGCGGAGAAACAGGTCCGGAGAAACAGGTCCGGAGAAACAGGTCGCCGTTAGGCGGAGAAACAGATCCGGAGAAACAGGTGGCTCGTCAGGCGGACTCGGAGCAACAGTTCAGCCATAAGGCGAGCACAGGTCAGCGTGAGGCGGAGCAACAAGTCGGCCATCAGGCGGAGAAACAGAAAAAAAAGCGCGTGTATATTATACTAAGTAAACTAAGTGTGTTATTTCTTATGAAAATTGTTAAATACACACTAAATAACTTACGTCTCACACAGAATTTCACTCGCTTCCCCTCAAAGACAGCGCAAAGAAAATGGCGGTTTCTCACGTTGATGTCCCTGCATGTTGACGTGACGTGCGTGCTCTCTTTCACGTCCGCGTTCCCAACCCAGCACTGCTGGGTTATAGATAAAGATCGATTTTCAACCCAAATTGGGTTGAATCAACCCAATTTTGTTACCCAGCAGTCTCAACCCAGCATTTGGGTTAAAAAACCAACCCAGCGTTTTTTAGAGTGTAAGTTAATGTATTTAAACTAGGCAAGTTCTGCTAACTTGATCATGTATGTTGACATATACAACTAAACTTTGCAAGTCCTGTTAACTTAAAATAAGTAGTTGGGTCAATTATTTAACTCTGTCAACTTAACATTTTAAGAAGAGCAAACTTGGAGAATTAAGTCAGTACAGCTTAACTGATTCAATGCAACAAGATGGCTTAACTAAGTTATGTTGAGTGAACAAATCATTTTTTACAACGTACCCTGAAGATTGCACTGATTAGAAACAGTAATCTTGTCCTTTTTTAGATCCCCTCTTTTTAGCTTGGCTTTTTGCTGTTGTTCTTTGTTTAGAATGCTCTTGTGTGTTTCATGGATATTTTGTTCACTGTTAACAATACTGTAAACTTTTTCTGTTCTATCATACCTTGTTTCTGTACCTCCTGTAGAAAACACTAAAGGAAAAAAACACTTATTTGCTTTTTCCTGTAATGCTTTTGAGTGTGAACATTTCTGTACATGGGGAAATACAGTTCCCAACCAAGAAATTTAGTGTCAAAATGGTGGATTGCATGTTTTGCATGCAAATACCTGTAAAACTGAAGCATAAAAGTCTCTGCAGTTTTTGTACCGTCAACAAGAGCCAGTATTTTAAAAGCCGGTGTACTTTGATTGACTGCATGTACCTTGTGAAGTGAAACACACACACATATATTTTATATTATTATTTTTAAAACTTTACTGCAATACTAAAGTACACAGTGTCTCAAAAAAACATAAAAAAACAAGCAATAATATATCAAACAAAATAAGAGTGCTTATTATAGTACAGGAATAAGATTGACTAAATCTTGTATTATAATAACAGCACAATCTGTGCAGTAGAATAATCCTTTTATTTTCTTTATTGGTGATGATGTAATGATGACGTATATATTTTTAGCTGCGTAAGGCATAAAAGTAGTGTTTTCGAATGAAGATAAGAGTTCGATCAAAGGTTTACGAGAACTGAAAGGCTACAGTGCTTCAAGTTTTCTTTGTGAATTTCCGACTAAAAACTGGACAAAAGGTGGTTAGGATTACTTGTTGATGAAAATTGATTGCACTAGATCAGTATGTCATGTGGCAGGAAATGGTCGTCCTCGCTCTGCCCGTACTGTTGAAAATATCACCACTGTCAAAGGCATACGGAGCCAAGAAGAGTCTGGCACTTAATGACTCCGATATGTAAACGTTGCTTTATTTCTGTGCGTGCTAATTTAGATTGCGAGTTAATAAAATTGAAGCGTTCTGTCAAAATTTGGGTTATCATTGTTTAACTAGGTAATGCGGCGATATAAATCCGGTGAGGTGGAAAACGTAAACATATCAAATAATTTCATCTCTTTGCCATCTAATTACAGAATATAATTAAGCTATATAATTTAATATAATAGAATGCAATGCAATGCCTGTGCGTTCACTATATGTTGCATTGTTTGATTTTACAGCTGGAAAAACTGCTTCAGTCTGGCACTATAACATGAATGTCAGGTCTGGTCACTCTGTAGTCCAATATAACACAGACTAGATGGGCAGTCAAGAGCTACACTGATGAAGCCCCCTTTAATTTACCCTCCTTTTGGGTCAATAATTGAGACAACCTCCAGCAGCAGCTGTGAAGTCAATACTGGTTAGGTATAAGCCAAAGAGTGTTGAAACAGTGCATAATTGGTGATAATTAGCATAGTTAGGAACAAGAAGTGCCCTATTGAAACAAAGGCCAGACCTCATATGCACTTTCCAACAATTATTGTCAGACTGGATGACAGGAGTGAAAAAAATCTCAATAAAGACATCACTTTAGACAGCAGTGCTTAACAAAGCTAGCACGCAGACAGAAGTTGTTCCTCTGGCATTTATTGTCAGTGTTTTTGTGAGAACGTCTACATGCATTAATTCAGCTTTTCTCCAAGGGTCACACATTATGTGCATAAATTACCTAGCAGATTTGTCTTTTAATGGCCCAGAGATTGCTTGGCCTTGAAACGATCTCTCCTGATGGAGGAAAACGCTCACATCATGTAAATTGTAAAAAAACAAACAAAAAACAAAACTTCATAATCTAACGCTAATGTTTTATTCATATGCGGGAGACCTTTTCTTAACAGGCTGATGACATGATACTAGTGTTTAATTAGTTAATGGAGGGAGTGAGATTCAGGTCAGGTTGGAGATTTAATTAAACCCTTGTTTATGCCGGGGCCTTCAGTTTCGTACGCCGTTCATTAGAGAAAAAAGCACTGAGTCAACTTTGGTGAAATGGACAAATTGAAGTGTGATGTCCGGTGAATGAATCGCTGGTATGCTTCTGATTTGATTCCGCAGGTTAAGCCTGATTGCACTTGCTTGATGTGCAGGTTGAAGTAGTGCAAATCAATCAGAATAGATGTCAGACAACTATTATGGTCTGTGTTCACATTGTGTAATGTAACGAAAGCTTGAACATGATGATAATTTCATGCTTTGAAAGGAGACGTGACCTCTAGTTATTGGACATTTATAAAGTTATAATTGTGAAGTGGACACAAAATGATTTATTTATTTATTTATTTTAACATATTCTGATATCTTGCAGTATGTACATAGGAGACTTTCCGCCATGAGCAGTCTGAGATTTACATGAATGCATTTGGCAGATGCTTTTATCCGAAGGCAACATATATTGCATTTACACATGCTGTTGATGAGTTCATGTTTTCCCTTGAAATTGAACAAACGACCTTGATGTTGTTAGCGTGATGCCCTGCAACTTGGAATAACTGAGTTTCCACTAGCTGGAATTGCTTCATAATTGTTTGAATATGTGAGTAACATGAAAAAAGCAAAAAACTAACACTTTTTAAATATCAAGGTGTCATGTAATATATTCATATTTTTGATATTTGTTTGTATTTTACTCATATACGTATAAATACAATGCAATACAATAGAATACAATACATAGCAAGCATGTCCTGCAACATAACTAGTATTTTTTTCGTTTTACAGCTGGACAAGAATGTCTAATCTTAAATGTTGCCGTCATGACAGTCAGTTAGAATCTAATGTACATGTAAGTGCTGTGACGGAATTGAATCAATAATAATGTCAGATGTTTAAGCCACAAAGATATCCGAAAAAATGTCCCAAAGATTTGTATTGTTTCATTTGTTTCACTTGATCCAGTCACCATTAACTAACAGTACTAGATTAATAAACTACTAATTACAACAACTAATTACTATTCATTGATAGTCAGTAAGGTAGGAGTTGGGTTTAGGTTTTGGGAAGGATTAGGGATGCAGAATAAGCTTATACTTTATAACCACTAATGAACAGTTAATATTGTATTAATAGGCAGGTAATATGTAGTAGTAAATAACATGAATTGTGACCTAAATTAAAGTTTTACCGAAAAGATATTTAACCTTTTTTGATTACGATCTAAAAAACACACACAAAAATGTGTCTAAATATGTGCTAGCATTTTTTATGGTTAGACTGACATTTCCTTTATCTGGATAATTTTATGTGGATAATTTAAAATACTGGTAAAAACCCAAAGAAAAATCAAGGCTTATCTTTTTTTTTCAAATTAAAGGGATAGTTGATGAAAGTTAAAGTTATCATTCATTATTTATTCTCGATGGTTTTATACCTTTATTACTTTTTTTTCACGGCGATCCATTTTAATCTAATGTAAGTGTTTTGGCAGAACTTTATCAATAATAATGTCAGATAATTAAGAGTCCCAAAAATTAAATTTTCAACCTGTTTGACTTTTGTCAGCCAATAAAAAAAGAGAAGAAATGTAATATTTTTGATTACACCATAAAAAAAAAAAATAAATAAACAAGAATGTGTTTTTTTAGCCTTGGATTTTATTCAACCAAAAAACACTACACACCGCTGTGCGTAATTTAAAATGGTAAAGTAACCAAAGTAACCCAAGGGAAAATCAAGGCTTACATTTTTTTTATTAAAGGCAAATTAAAAGTATCATTCATTTGTTCTCCCTAGTTTTATACCTTTTATTACTTTTTCCATGACAATCTTTTTTTTTTTCTAATATAAGTGCTGTGGCAGAATTAAATCAGTAATAATATCAGATAATTAAGTTTCCCAAAAAATTAATTTCAAACCTGTTTGACTTCTGTCAGCCCCCACAAAAAATAGAAGATATTTAACATTTTTGGATTAAACTATATAAAAAACACAAGAATGTGTCTAAAATATACTAGTATTTTTTTTTGTTAGACTGACATTGCTGTGCATAATTTAAAATGCTGGTAAAAAACAAAAACAAAGGATAATCAAGGCTTACATTGTTTATTAAAGGGATAGTTGATGAAAATAAAAATTATCATTCATTATTTATTCTCCCTGGTTTAAAACCTTTATTAATTTCTT